CTTTATCAGGGGTCCTCTATGTGTCAGTCCTCTGCTAAATCTTTTATAATATCTATCTCCTTTCCCTTAGAATAAGCCTATGAGGGATGTATTTTTCTTCTGCATTTTGCAGTTGAGAACACTGTAGTTCACTGACGTTAAGTGATTCAGCTGCAAGGTGGTAAACATCGAACCCAGGGTCTCCAACTCCCAGTTGAGCGCCTTCCTCCATTGCATCATTACTTCAGGTTGTTCATTATCAATTCCTGGGTCACATTTAAGGAGAGTTTCTGGGGGACTCACTTCTGCTCACTTCTCAGTTTCCTCCTCTATATCATGACAGGATTCAACTAACGGATCAATGTTTCTAAATGTGTGGTCCACAGTCCATCAGCATCAGAATCATGAAGGGAAGGGTGGATGGTCTTATGAAAAATTCAGATTCCAGAGCCCCACCCAGACTCATTGAATTAAAATATAGGGAGGGGGAGGCAAGGTCCAGGAACAAGCATTTTAATAGGCTTTTGAGGCAATTCTTAAGCATGTCTAAGTTGAGAACACTTTGTTAGTTTCTTTTTTCCCCAAAGTTCCTTTCAGCTTTGATAGTCTTTGCTTCTAAGACATTAAAATTTGAGGATATGTCTTTGTATCTCTATCATCTTTTACAGAGCCTGGAACTCAATATGTTTTTAGTGAATGAATATATTTGAATTTGGAAGACAGATTCAAGTACTTGGTTTGGTGTTTACCAACCATGATGCCTGGGAAAAGTACTTCACCTTTTTGACCCTTAGAGTTGCTATTTTTCAGATGAAAATAATAATAACAGTCCCTATTCTGGCTCCCAACAGTTCATGTGGAAGATAAATTAAATCATGTTTTTGAAAGCTCTTGATTCCAATTTGAAGATCATTTCAAGTTGAAGAACCAGGTATAAAGTGAACACCAACAGGGGTAATACTTGAGTCTTTCAAATTCACAGATGGCTCATCCACAGCTCTCTCAAGTGGACTGATAGGGAGTTTATTGAAACACAAAACAAAACAACCATCACATTTGAAAAACACCACATTTGAAAATCACATTTCTATTCAAAGTAAGTAGGGTCTTTCCTGAAAACAACCTGATTTTTTTTTTTTTTTTAGGAGAAATCTGAGGCATTCCCATAGTGCCCCCTGGTGGAACTAAGAAGCTAATTCAAATTTACAGTTCTTGTCACATATTTGCTATTTGCTTAGCAGAGAGATTAATTTATCAATGTATGTATCTGTTCTCCACCTAGACTAGAACCTTTTGTGGAGGTTTTTATCTCCAGAGCCTAGCATTCATTTGTGCATGCATTCCTCAATCATTAGTGAGCATCCATGGCCCTGCAGCTGTGCTTGGCACCCAGGGATACAGCTGAGGAACCAGATGGTCCCTGCCCTTAAAGCCCTTATGGTCAAGTAGTGGTGACAGAGAAGTAAGTAGCCAATAGCAATAGTCATGTATGCCACGTAGGAGGAGGTGCAGGGAACTATAGAAACCACTTTCTTTAGCAAAACACAATGATAAGTTTGGAGAAAAAGCATGGCACAGTGAGGGATGGATGGCAAAAAATGGGGCATGAAGCGTAAACAGAAGCCAGATGGAGTTCGGAGTTTAATCTAAGGTCAATGTGAAGCAGCTGAACAGTTTTAAGCAGAGGAATGATGTGGTTAGGTTTTTGTTCTTTAAAAATCATTTTGACTATGGGTAGAACTGAGTGGAGGAGGCAAGACCAGAGGTAGAAAGGCCAGTTAGGAAGCTGCTGCATAGTCCAGGTGATAAATGTTTGGTTAGGAGCGGCACACAGGGAGTTTAAAATGCATTGGTAAAATTCCATTTCTTTCCCTGGGTGAGGTTTAAAGGTGTTTTATTCTTTGTATCTTACACTACATTACACAAATTCTGCCCTTGCTCCCTGCCCGCATGGGAATAAGTCTCTTCTACCTCCTCTCCACTCCAGCTTTCCTTATTTAGCCTCAGGTCAGTCCCTCCCACCCCCCTGCAGCTTATCTTATGACTTTGTTGCAACCCAACTCTGGCTGGAAGCCCTCTAGCAAGTCTCAAGTACTCCTGCTTCCCAGTCGTTACTCATTTTTTTCGTTCGAGGTGAATTTATTCATATACCATGTGTGCCCCCTCCCCTTTGCTTAATCACAGACCACTTGCCTTTCAAAAATCAGCTCGAATTCCAATTCAGTTCACTTCAGCTGAACCATTTTTTTCTGAGGGTTTATTATCTGCTTGGCTTGGTTTTGGGCACTGGGGGTGGGGCGGGGTACTGCACTGAGCCAGCCAAATCCAGCCTTTGGGAGTTCAAAACTGACAAGCAGAGTCCAACACACAAACAGACCATTTCCTCATGGCCGGGAAAGTGCTGTAACAGAAGTTGGCAAAGGGAGCTATGGCAGTACAGAGCGTGGGGACCCCTGCCCTGCTTGGTTGGTGGGGTGGGGTGGGGGTAGAGGGACAGGCAGGAAAGGCTTTTTGGAAGGGATGATGCTTGAGTTGAAGGTTAAAGGAGGAGTTGTTTGCAAAGTGAAGAGGTGTCAAGGAGTGAGCTGCAGGCTGAGCCCCTCCCTGCCAAGTCTGTTGTGCTATCCCTGTGACAGGTAGAAATCCCACCTCTAGCTACTCTGGGCTGGTACCCCCATTTCTAGAGTATTATATTCATTCTGGGTCCAGCTCTTTGAAAACTGTCCTTAGGATGATCAGGAAGGTAAGGGGGAACAAAAACTGGCCATATAAGGAACAGTAGCTAAATTATGCATATTTAGACTGAGGGGAAATTTTTTTGGGTGAAAAGGAAATGGGCTTTTGTATAACACTGAGTTTCCAAGTATAGCCAAAGGGCAGAAGCTGTTGGAGGCAGATTTCAGCTGAACACAAGAAAGAACTCTCTATTGGCCTTTCTTTAAAAGAGAGTAACTTGTCTTGGCAGGTTGTCACTGGAGAGGTTCAAATATGTATCTCCATTTGGTAGTCATATTGTAGAAAATGATGAGAGTTGGACAAGATGACCTTTAAGCTTCTGTCCAGTGCTGCATTCTCTCACAGCATCTTCCCCACTTTCACCATCATCTCTTAGAGACCTTCTGCGTAAACCTTTCCGTGACCTTCATCGCCTGCTGATTGAAGTCCATGCTCCACAGCATAGCACACAGGGCCCTGCTTCTCCCACATCTCCACTCACATCCCTACCCCAAAACAAAGCAATATCAAAACACTTAAGGTTCTCGGCACACTCATGCTGTGCTCTGTGCTGAAGATGTCCTCCCCTCTTCCTTTGCCTAGCTATTCTGACACTTTCTCCAACATTCTGTTCTGGCACGGGAGTGGATGCTTGTCTTTTTTTTTCTTTTTTTTAAAAAAATATTTCTTTATTGATTTGAGAAGAAAGGAGAGGGAGAGACAGAAACATCAATGATGAGAGAGTCATCGATCGGCTAGCCCACAACCCGGGCATGTGCCCGGGCCAGGAACCGAACCCCAATCGCCTGGATCCCAGGTCAACGCTCAACCGCTGAGCCATGCCCGGCCGGGCTGGTTGTCTCCTTTTGTCTGCACCATAATTTCCTACTGGTAAATTAATTGTGTCTTGATGCAAGGGTGACTGCAGTGGCCTGCCTCCCATTGCCACTCAGAAGGAAGCTGAGGGGGTCAAATCTTTCCCTATCAGTCTCTAATTCCAGCTAAGAGGAAGGCAGGCATCAATAGACCAGCCAACTGGGCCTTCTCTCCAGGTGCTTTGAATCCAAAGACATAAGGAATAGTTAAAGGCGATTTATCTGGTGGTGCAGGGGCAGGGGAAAAGGTGTCTTGAACAGGCTGTTCCAGCAGTAACGTGTTTGGTGTGTCTTGTTTTCTACTTAATAGCGTTTTGAAGTGCCCTTGATACTTAGGTATTTCTAGGTCAATAAATATTTATAAAATGAATGAAGCACAGGGATAAAGGTCAAAGACTAAATTTAAAGCAAATCACATGCAAGGTTGGAATACTGAATGATCAGAACCAGAGGTAAAGAGAGGGAAATAAAGATAAATGACCCCATCATTAAAAGAAATGAGGAAGTGCTAATTTAGCGAGGACGGAGGAAGAATGGTGAATAAAAAAATTTTATTGCAGTTCCTCCTCCAAGAGATCTCCATTTATGTTATATACACTCTTCTCCGCTGGGGATGACAACAGTTCTATTATTTTAGGTTGAGTTAGCTTCCTGGTCCCTGTTTAGATGGGCCTCAGGCCAGTGGCCTTGCCCTTACCTTCAGAGACTGTTAAAGAACTTGTCAAATAGCACACAGTGGCAGGAGAAATCAAAGATGACTTGGAGGCTTCAATCCAAGAGGAGCCACTAAAAAAAGGCTGGAAGAAAATGCTGAACTCGAGATTTTAGCATGATGTGGGTAGTGATGACTCTGAGGCAGCAAGAAGTAGGTCATGCCTGGATGACACGTTGATTGAATGGGTTTACAAATCTCTAAAGCCGGTGCTATCACTACTGCATATTCCTCACCACGTGCAACTCTGCACAGGCAGAATCAAGAATTTAGTGTTTTTCTTCTGCAGACAGAAACATGAATTCATTCTATATTTACTGGGCACTGACTCTGTGCCTTGTACAGTTCTAGGCAGTACTAAAGTGGTGAAAAAGCTACACTCATGGAGTCAGGTCAGAATACTACTTATTTGTTCACTTGTTCGTGTGCTATGAACAACAATATTATGTTAGCAGATGCTAACAACATGGACAAATTAGGTCAATGGAAGGAGAGAAAGAGAAAAATAAGATGGACAAGCCTTTATATTAACTCTTTCTTCTGGGACTTCAGATGAACCAATCAAGAAATATTAAATAATAAGGTAGAATATTTATTTAGGCTAAAAGTAGATTCTAGGGCATGCTACTCATATATTTAAAAAATGTATTCTGTTTGGATAGCAAACTTTATGAGCTATACAGTATCTAAGATATAAAAATTACACAGAAATTCATGCGTATAAGAGACCTGTTTATTACGGACAACATTTCATTTGGCTACAACCACAAGAAATCCACACACAAATACTTAAAGTGCAAATTCTCACAGGCAGTATTTACGATACACCCTGGTGTTTTCTTAGGGAAAAAACTGGAAGATATTGACAGAAACTGTTAAAACAAGGGCACAATTTTGAACTACTGCTACAGAGTCAGGAAAATAATTCATTCTTAACTGCACATATTTTATCTGGCATGGTCAATGATGTATACAAAGAGTTTATTTTAGCCCACAACAAGAAGGCCTCACCATATATAGATGCAAACTCTGGAGTGGCTCTTGTCAGATATATGCTGAATCATAACATTGAACAAAAATATACCAAATAGTATTAAATTAGTTGTGACTCACTTGGAAGGTAGCACAAGTAGGCTCAAATTGGCACTTGTATTAGTGATATTAAATCTACATAGACACTTTCTTAGCCTTTTTGGCCAATCCCTTGCTTTGAGTGTAAAATACTTGGCGTTATACACAATTTCCAAATAGAAATATGCTCTGCTTTCTCCAAAGACACTGAGTATTTGAGTGTGTGTGTGCTTAATAAACATTACTTATAAATTTCAGTAATGAGAGTTGGTTTAATAAATGCTAAATTAAAAAACTAATATTGTTTTTTTTCTTGAATTATTTGCTTCTTTAAAATAAAAATCCCTTTATTACCATTATCACCAATTATGCACTCTATAACAGGTACTATACTAGGTGGTGTGGATATGAAAAATAATAAAGGGAGCTGAAAGTCAAGAAGGATCTTGAATTCCAATAAATTAAAGAGAATAAACTGGCCAATACCTCTGACTATAAGGTTCACTGGTAACATAACTGTTTCAGGTCAGTTTAACTTGGCATTAATACTTTCAAAGGTCAGCTACTAAAGGGCAAAGAATATCCTATATATGTTCTATGTTTACATTTCTCACACTAGAGTCAGTGTGTGTACGCCCAGGGATATGCAACAGTTGAAGGGGGACTTGGGGGAGAAAACTGAGAGGCCACATGATAAACAGAGTGCTCCTTTCTGACACCACCAGTTTTGTTGAAGACTGAAGGAATCATTTTTATATCAACACACTTTTATTATGGAGGATTCAAAATTCACTTACATTTTTGAGACAGACCATGACATTTCTTTGCTCTCAGGCCCCTTCCCCTACATGACCCTTCTGCTTGAGGGTCATGCTGGTGGAAAAATTTGAGAGGCAAACTTTAACTATGTCACTTTGCCCTTATCTTGGTTGCTTTACTCATTCTTATATGTTGTTTTTTTAAGTACATAGTCTTTAATTAATAAAGAGAGAAGATGGCTTAATGAACAGAACAGTATGATGAATATTTTAAAGTAACCGATGGTTAACGCTAACTTTGTTTCCAACTAGAACTAAAGTCATGCTGTGAACTGAGACAATGACAGATTCTCTTCTTTCTGCTTAGATTCCTTATAGCTTATGGTGAGTGCTTTGAAGCACAAATATAAAAAAAATATATTTCCTCAAATCTTGTGTTTTGGATGCCCAAAGTACACGGAAACTGAAAATAAAATGCTAGATCAACTGAGCATTCATTTTGGTTAGTACGACTCTTTCCTCATCAGTTTCCAGAGCAATCTCAGAAAACAAGTGAATTGTAAAAGGCCATAATAATTTAACATATAGCATCCAGATAGACCACAAAAAACTATGAAACAGATTTAAAATTACTTCTTACAATGTCTTATTCTCACAATAACAAAACATCCAAAAGTCCATAAACCAACTTAGTTTATGAATAAGTTTAAAGCATTCTGACAGATACAGTTAGGATTTCTTATTGGTGAGGTAATAGGGCAATAGCATTTCACAGTAACAAAATGTGAGAGGGTACCTAGGGAAAGAGGGAGGTAGAGAAAAAAGGCATAAAATTAAATTTATTCAAGCAGAATTTGGATTTGGATTTTTCAAGCATCATGAACAACAATGGAAAAGATCTGAAAGAAATACCAATAGCAGCGCCTCATAGAACAATTTCTCCATTAAACTCCAGCAATATCTTTGTTGCATCAATTTCAGGAGCAATCTGCTTAAGAAACAGAAGTTCTATTTCCTATATAAATATATTCCAAAGTATCCAAACTCTTAGATACTCTCTGCTGAAGTTACTACATCCAAATAACAATACTCTAAACTTAAAACAAACCCCTCAAATATCCTATAATGCTATACATTCTTCAAGATGAACAAAACTGTGCTCAAGTCTCACTTAATTTGCTAAATTAAACAAAAAAATAACATGTAAGCAGGTCTTTATTCGCTGCACTCATGCATCTACTACTCAACATAAAAAAACAACAAAAACTGTTGTGAGCTAAATTCTTATAGATATGGAGTGAAATTCAAATGTTACTTTCAGTGCTCTTTATGATATCTTTGTTCCAACCTGAGTTTAAAAAAAAAAAAAGGTTTAGAAGGAACCTGTAAAAGCCATTTAGTATATCTTTTAATATTTAAAGTTTTTATTCTCTTAAAAATAAAAATTCAAATAAAAGGCTTCATAATGATCCCTGCCCAAGTTTTAAAATCTTAAACTATTCATGTTGCCTTTCTCCCCCTTAAAAATCCTTATACCCTCCTATTTTATCCTTGCTGGAGATGGAGAACAATTTGTCACGTTGTTCTTAGTTTAAGTTGTTCAATAAAAGGCTCAATAACTTAAGATTTATTAAACTATCTCGACAGCTTTCTCCTCTCCAGAGTTAAATGATCTTGTTTTACTTTTTCTCAGAGGTCTTATTTTCCAATCTATATTTTATTCTGTTTTTTATTTCTGTTATATCCCCTCCCCAGTTCCCATATGATCCTAAGAAAGAACATTCTCTCAGAGACTGAATCAGTAAGAGAGGTACTTTTTCTCTTAAACTCTTTTGCCTTATACTTGTCCTCTTTAGTGCTCACTAATCAAAGAAAACAAAAGGTTCACTATTCGCTCATCAACACAACAGATAAACACAAGTAAACAACTTGCCCACAGTGAGTTTTTAGGGTGATAAACTTGCCCTTAACAAAAAGCATTTCCTGTGCCACCTAATTGACCTTTCTATTGTTTGCTTAGTTCTGTTTATTTCCATCCTATGTTTTAATCTTGTCCCACTAATTTCTTTCCTTTTCCTCAGAGCTCTAGAAAATCCCAGTTTTGATCTGCACACTCAATGAGAATGCGTTCATTTCCATGACATTGTTCATAAAGAAAAAGGTGAACAACGCAGAGCCCAAGGCTGAGACCTACTGGCCAGCACTTCCGTCTGGCCTGGTTGGCTTGGGCTACTGAATTTATCTGTTAGGCAAGTGTACACCCACTATGTCAAGTACACACTAAATATCAGAGACAGACTTGAGAGTTTGGCTAGAATCAAATAATTCCCTCAATCTATACACTTTTGGAACACTTGTAAAACTCTGTTAATTTTAACTCTGGATTTTTAAATTTTTGAGATAAGAATCCAAGCTTTAATAACTTTTTGCCTTGATTAAGATGACTTAAATGCGGTGTTAGATTAAAGCACTCAAATAAAACAGTTCTCTGTCCAACAGGATGACAATCAGAACATGGCTTTAGGGATTATACATGGGCTAGTATATCATTTTAGCTCCACTTTGTTCTTCAGTCAATGGAAAACAGACACTGAAACCAAATATACATATTTTCCAGATACTATAGCGCATTGCTCACACCACTTCGTAGAATATAGGCCATTTCCTAAATTATGGTCTACATTCCTAAAAGCAAATAAAACAAAAAATTCTACACAATTTCTTTTTCAGTGCAAAGCCTTTGAAAACAAACTCACTTAGAAATATGGTGTTCTACATTTAGCTAGCTGTCTATTATCTACAGTCACACAAGATCCAGCTATAAGAAACTGAGAGAGGAACAAATTAACAATAGTGGCAATATAATAATTTGAAAATTATATTTGGATTACATGAGTTCAACCAAATGTGAACCAATAGCTACAATAAACCAAACCATGATTTAACAAATATTCTAATCAGTTCAAATTTTATATCATTTTTTTTAGGAAATAAATTCTCTAATACCAGTTATCTTCCATAGGTAATTTGTTTAGATGATTATGCCCAAGGCCTTGTTATTGTTACCTCTTAACCGTACCACATATGTTTAAGTATTCTGTGAACTATATACAACAGGATACACTTTAAGAAGATTAAACAGAGCTTCTCTATTGTCTTTTTAGAAGACTGCAGAATCAACCAGTGACCTTACAATTTTTTTTCCATATTAGATAAGATAGTTACTCTTGTGATCAGAAATTCTATAGAAGCCAGCAAGATGTTAGGATAAACTGGATGTTAGTTTGAAAAGAAGTAGTATAGTGTTTCATAATACCTAAAATCTGAATGTTTTATTTCTTAGTAAAAGTAGCATTACTTCATCTGATAAAGGAATAAATCCACTTATAATATGTAATTTAAAAGATTTTTAAATAAATTCAGAGCTCCTTTCTCAGTTCAGATTTTTTCTTTACTCAAAGGCTGTGATAACTGACAATTCTAACATGAAGATGCTTAACTAGAGTTACATTGAGCCTGGTCTTATTAAGATTTTTATATATGTTCATAAGATTTTAAAGTCAGCAAACCTGTTTAATATCGAGGGAAAGCACCTATGTAGTTTGGAAGATTTTTCTTAACTGTCTGAAAATCAATGCAGAAACACTGTTTCAGTTCATACCATACCCTGAGAAGGCACTGAGAAATTTGACAAGAACAAAGCTTCTAGGAATGTTGCCACTATTGTTTTATGTTCAGTAAAGGTTGGAATTTTAAATACACTGAATAAATTTACATTGCACCAACAGCACCTGAAACAGAAGAGCTGGACACCACATTTGTAACATCTGTTCTAAGCTAGAAATGCTAAATACCCTATTTGAATACTCTAATTTGTAAGTCACTATCTACGATATAACAATGACACTTCCACAGTATTCTGAGAGCAGCACTGTTTTCTTGCCAACTTTATGAAATAATTTCCTTAACTAACTCTACAATTACACAACACTTATCTGCCTATTTAAAAAAACACACATGCTATACACAATTACAAGAATATGAAACTAAGCTTACTTAATCACACTTTAATAAGAAAACTGGCTTTTGCACTGTTTTATTTCTGTTAAAGGAAGAATGACGTGTTACTATAATACTTTGAACATAATGACTTTTGTTCAAGATTATGAAAAAATTTGAATCATTTTCTCCAGATGATTTCATTTCGAAGTTATACAGTTTTTTTAGTCAGCCAACCAAAAAAGAAAGAAAATGAAAGGAAAAGGATACTTGGCCAGGTGAGATAGAGAGAACGCTAAACACAAGTTCAACGCATGGGGCTCTCGGTTGGTCTGTTCCATATGCCGGTGCAAAGAAACGGTGTCCACTACACACAACGCCAGGTCAGTCCATTTTTACTGGGCTCAAGAAAATTCTCAATCAAAGCTTCAATGAGTTTCCTCAATTCTTCTTCTAGTAAGGCGGTGTCACTGAGGAAAAAGATTAAGAGTTTTAAAATTCTTGATTTTCATAGCCTTACATTTTTAATTGTTATAACTTTTTAAGAAGGCATATACCCGATGGAATGATTAAATAACTGGTAAACAAAAGATAAATACACTCAGTTAAAACAAAATAAGACCAAAGTTGGGGGGGAGGGGGAATCACACATAAAGAAATATCACAAACTGAAGTTGAACTGCATTAAGAGGAGATCCTTGGTACATGACACATGGATGAATTATAGTGCATCTAAAGATTTCTCCTGGGTGAAGCGATTTAATGGCTTGGAACACCAATACCAGGTATTAAGAGAAAACAGCTTCCTGACATACTTTGAAGAGTATCCTGCGGAGATAGTACAGGATGATATGGCATGTCTTTCAGGTAGCAAAGGGAAGTATCACTAAAAGAATGAGATGTTTAAAAAAAGAAATGTACACTTACAAGTATGCCCTTCAAAATCATCACCTGAAGAGCTGCTGTTGCCCAAAACATGTCCAGAAAAGCCTCTTTTAAACTGCTTTCAGTTATTTCACATGTCATTCAACAAATCAGTTTTTGTTACTTTAATAATCATCCTTCATTTTTAACCAAATATAGCATTACCCAATTTGGTTAACTTTAAACTGTGCTCTTCCCCTGCCCCCAAAGAAAATGCAAAGATTTAGGGAAATATAAAATAATGTACCTTGAAGGCAATTCCAAAAAAATCTTTCCAAAAATATATTGATCAATGACAATACTATAGGAGGTACTACTTTTAATAAGTTTAAATAGCCTTTGAATATGCTTATTAAAGTTATTTATTCACATACTCTTAAAAGGAAATAAATTGGGCAGATTAAATCAAATCATATTAGATGTAGAAAATGAATATTTGGCAATAAACAGATTATTGATCATTTCTTTATGTTCATCATTAAAGCTCAGAGAGCTTCTCTAGGAATATAAATTCACCAAAATTTTAAAATTCAATTCCCAAATGGTACAGCTGCTTTGGAAAATTGCCTGGCAGTTCTTCAAAAGGTCAAATATAGAAGAACCACCATAGGATCCAGCAATTCTACCCCTACATACATACTCAAGAGAAATGAAAACAAATGTCCACATAAAAACTTGTATACAAACACTTGTAGCACCATTATTCATAATAGCTCAAGTGTGGAAATAACCCAAATGTCCATCAACTGATAAATGGATAAAAAATGTGTTATATCCATACAATGAAATATTATTGGACCGTGAAAACACTTTTTTTTAAAAAAAAGGAATACAATACTGATTCATTCTCCAACATGGATGAACCTTGAAAACATTATGCTAAGTAAAAGATGCCAGTCACAAAGGATGATATATTGTATAATTCTGTGTCTATAAAATGTTCAGAATAAACAGCGGATCTATAATGGTATATACTAGACTGTGGTTGCCTAGGGCTGGGAGAGAGGGCAATGGGAAATGACTGCTAATAGGTATGGGGTTTCCTTCTGATGTGATGAAAATGTCCTAAAATTGATTGTAGTCATGTTTGACAACTCTGAATACACTAAGAACTATTGAATTATACACTTTAATAGGTGAACTCTTTGGTATATGGATTATATCTCAATAAAACTTTTATGTATATATTTAAAAGGTCAACACTCACCTCTGGTCAGGTGAGGCGCACATTTCTGCATAATACTTTATCTTTGGTTCTGTCCCACTTGTCCGAAGAGTAGCAACACAGCCATTTTGAAAAGTAAATGTAATCATCTGGCTGTTTTTACTCACAGGCAGCACCTATGTACAATTATAAAAACAGCTTAATTATAAAATACAAAAGAAGATTACATATGTAATTCACAAATATACATTTACTGAACAATTATAATAGTACAGGCATTGGGTTATATACCTTACATACATGCTCTCTGGGTCTCAACAATAATCCTGCAAAGCAAATATTACTGCCAATTTACAGGCAAAGCTCAAAGAGAATAAATGATCTGCTCAAGGTCATCAGCTAAGTGGGAGAGCAAGAAGTTGCAGCCAGATCTGTTTGTATCAAAGTCTAAACTGCCTCTACATTTGCAAAGTGCTTTATAATTTTAAAGTACTTTCACAGTTTATTAATAGTCACCAAAGTAGAGTAAACATATCCTGGAGGACAGGCAAAATACTTCACTGGGGTGCAAAATTTTTAAAAATACTTTTTACATAAAAAATTTAAATAAAGAAACAAAGCTTTACTGACAGTAAATATATGGATTAGCACTGGTACCCTTCACAGATCGGTCTGTGAAGGCATCTCAAAGGAGCTGTGGGGGTTGTACTAGGACAGAAGGGTTGACAGAGGGGTTGGCAGTGGTGCCTCTCCTCAGGTGTCCCAAGCCTGGTCCTCTCCTTGAGATCCCTCTCTTGGTCAGTGCTACCACCATATACTAGTTGCTTAAAAACAGAGACCTTCCTCCCCCCTTTTTCACTCATAGAACATCAACTAGCAAATTCTGTCTATACTATTCTTTATTTTACTCAACTTGATGTCCAGTTCTCTCCATGACTACTGCTACCATATTAAGTTCTGGCTCCCATTATCTCTCATCTCAATTACTGAAACAGCATACTAACTGATCTTCCTGCCTGGAAGTCTGCCCCTCTCTAACCTACTCACCACACATGCCATTTTTCCTCGCACCCCACACTATAAAGANTTTCCCAGCTTTATTGAGAGGATAGATTGCTGTTTTAATTGCCGCCCCTCTGCTGCATTGGTGGCTCGCTCTTTTTTTAGTATATCTTTATTGATTTTTAATATATCTTTATTGATTTCAGAGAGAAGGGGGGGGAGAGAGAGAGAGAGAAAGAGAGAAAGAAAGAGAAAGAGAACTGTCAATGATGAGAATCATTGATAGCTGCTTCCTGCATGCCCCCTACTGGGGATCAAACCCAAAACCTGGGCATGTGCTCTGACCCGGAATGGAAACTTGATCTGGATTAGAGGTCAATGCTCAACCCCTAGGCGATGCCTGCTGGGCTCTCTCATTTTTTAATCCTCACCTGAGGATATGTTTTTATTGATTTTAGAGGGAGGGAGGGAGGGAGGGGGAGAGAGAGAGAAACATTGATGTGATAGAGAAACATTGATCGGTTGCATCCCATATACTAGTTGCTTAAAAACAGAGACCTTCCTCCCCCCCTTTTTCACTCATAGAACATCAACTAGCAAATTCTGTCTATACTATTCTTTATTACACGCCCCGACCAGGGATTGAACCAGAAACCTAGGTATGTGCCCTGACCAGGAATCGAACAGGTAACCTTTTGGTGTGTGGGATGACGTGCCAACCAACTGAACCAGCCAGCCAGGGCTACTTGTGGTTCTTAAAGGAGAACATGCCTTCTCACCTCCAGACCCAGCACTTGCTGTTCTCTCTGCCTGAAAACATCCTCTGTTCCTCCTACATTTGGGTAACTCCTACTCCAGAACTCAGCTTGCAGAAATCCTCCAGAAAGTCTTCCATAAGCCCAACGAATCTGAGTAAGGGCCCTTCCTATGCTCTTCCATAGCACCCTATGCACTTATCATTTTGTAAAGTAATCTATCACTATTTACTTGTTCATTTCCCCACTGGACACTGAGTGCAGAAACAGTGCCTTTGTTATTGCTGTATCCCTAGTGTGCCTGTAGCATAGAAGGGTTTTGATAAATGCCTGTAGAATACACAGATGAGTATCAATCTGAAGTGTGGAGAAGAAAAAACTCAGAAAGTCTTTGACACTTACTTTGTGACCATCGGGGATTAACTATATCTATACTACCTGCCTTACAAAATTGTTGTAAGCATCAGTGAAGAACAGATAGAAAAGCTCTTTGAATACAAATATACACTTAAAAATGAGTTAAGAGGAAAAAAAGCATAACACAAGAACTACTCTAAGTACAGCAATAATAGAAGCGAAAAAATCGGCTCTTCATGTAGTTTACAAAGACACAAAAATAGATACACACATACGTGCATATGCACAAAATACCAATGACTGGGCACCAATATTTGTATATACACAAAGGGAATGTGGGTAGTATTCTCCACAGATTTCCCCAAATATATCATGCCCCTAGAATCTTGAATCAACATTAGAATATTATAAATGAAAATTTAGGCTAATAATAACAATAAATATGACTAGCAAACTATGGCATTTAAATATTTGTTGAGCCCCTGCCATGTAGGCAGGACCTCTGAGAGGTATATCAGAAAAGGATATCAGAAATGGATCTGCCATGTACAACACAGATAACATACGATAGAAAGGGTTGAATGACAAGAGGAAGGCACAGTATATAATCAAACCTCAGGAGAAAGATATTTGCTCATGGGACCTGGAGGGTATGTGAAAGAGGCAACATTTGCTTTAAGTCTTGAGTAATGGCAAAGGTGTGGACCTACGACAGTAGGAAGAAAAGGTAGGCTGAGGAAATAGCTTGAGCAACAATAGAGAAATGAAAAATAAAAGTATATATGTAAGAAACTATAAGTTGTTCTACTTGGCTGGAGGTATAGGGAGTAAAGTTGGAAAAGGGAGGTTACAACTAGAAAGATATGGAGTTTTAAAATTATAGGCTTTTAGACTTCATTTTCAACATTATTTATTTAGCATCATCACATATTCTCCCTCCCTCATTCCTTTTTAAAATAAAAAGATACTTACTGATTTATTATTAGGCTGGCTGCTGTCATATCCAGTGGTAATGTCCCGTATATGCAATATAGCAAATGTCCCACAAAATTTTGGATATTCATTTGGAGAATCAAAATTGCGAAGCCTTTCAAATATACTTTTGATGGTATTTGGATCATAACACAAGAAATATGAAGTTTTTGAAATATGATAACCATACCTGCACAAAGATTTAAAGTGTTAAAATCAGATTTCAGATCTCTTTAGAAAAGTATATTATAGTATTATGTAGAAAGTGGCAGTCCTTAATTCAGACAGTTTTAGTACTTTTAAAAAAAGATTATTCCTTGAAAACAAATTTAACTGAAAGTAGGACAAAAAAACTTAGCATGTGAAATTCATAACAGTAGGGCTTACTTTTCATAAACCTTAACCAGTTGCTGTTTCAATGTTATATTCATGGTTTCCAGGTAAGATGCCATCTCAGCAACAACAACGGCTGCACTCACCCCATCTTTATCCAAAACTGAAGTTCCACACAGAAAACCTGAGAATTAAAAAAACCTTTAAAAAAGAGGAAAACTTAAGCTTGTAATAATTTCAATAGTTTTACATTTCTTCAGAAGGACCAATGAATTTAAAGCCTAGTAATAAATGAAGCCCATTGATACTGAAGGTATTTAGGGGACCTTTAAGGGTCATTTTTTTTTTTTTCTGATGAGAAATGAATCTACACATTTCTGAATGCTCTGTGGTTTTTACCACAATTCAGAATACAAAATCAGAAGACAAAAATTCCTTTCTATAGAATTATTACATTAAAAAAATGCTCTCATTCAAATTTCAAAGATTTTAACATTTACTACATACCAATAGACTCTTCAAATGCAAAAAGGACTTCTTTCCCATTTTCCAGGAGGTCTTTTATTCTACTTCCAATCCATTTAAAACCTGGTAATGTTTCCTGAAATGCAGAGGAGGCCACTCTTGTTAAGTGACTCTCTCATAATACATATTAGAGAAAAGCCTGTCACTAAATGCACTACATAACACTCTCATAGAGATCTTCGGTTATGGTTTTTGGTCCACAAAGATTTACATAGTGGTAAAGATATAGTCATACGTGCACAGATACACGCACTGCCATGAATGATGACCTATTTATCAAGTATAGTAAGAGGTGATTTACACCAAATATAATCCAATATTTACAAGTGGTGATACATATAGTCACAAAGTAATGTATTATGACCATCTACTATTTATCAAACAGTGTAACAATTGCTTTACATCATTATCTTTTTGCCCATTATCTTTTTTAATGCTCATAAAAACTGTTGCTGAAACTGGCTCAGAGGTTCAGTAATTTTGCCCAAGATTATGCTGCATGTAAGAAATAGAGGCAGGATTCAATTGCACTGCTTTTCAGAAACTGTCCTTTAAGCTGTATTATAAACACTAATATAAGAGTACTTATGAAGGTTGTGATTTAGTCCCCTTGAGTAATCAAAGGCCATAAAGCTTTTTAATGATGCATTTTCAATATTATCACAACATATGCTTGAATCAAGTGTTCTTTACCGTAACATCAAGTCCTTCTTTAGTAATGAGATTTGAAAACTTTTCATCTGATGAGCTAGTGTTCCCTTCATAGTCATGAACTGTTTTAGAGTCAACAGAAAGAGCATGTGATACACACTGACTCTAGAGATCACCACTACTAATTTAAGATTCCTAATTCACCTCTCCATCTCCTCACTGGAAAATAAAATAAAAGCCCAAACCACCTGCCACTCCTACTCCCAACAATCAAAACAAGGAAGCAAATTTATAATACTGGTTTTTAGAATCGCTTTTTTCTCTTTTGTGCTCATTATACATTTTTCTTGCCATAAATATAAATGATAAAAATGTTAACATGACTATAATTCAGAATCTTAGGCTTAAATAAATTTTCAATTCCTTCTATTTTGCTATTTGTATTTTAGAAAGCCTGAGGTTGAAAGCTCTATTTCATTAAGACAAGTACAATTTTCTTTTATTCAGCCAATTAACGTTAAGACCTGTAGCTTGACTGTGGCTCAAGAAAAATGTCCAGAGGTGACATTTTCGCTGATACTTGGCAAAGATGGTAGAGGAAAAGCAATTTCATTGACATCAGTCCCACTAGCTGTAAAAATGGTCAGTTTAACTGCCTGAGGCTCAAAAAGGTTAGTGACTGATGCTGAGAGGCATAATTTGTTTTTTGGAAGTAGAATCACTGGGTCTTAATTTGCAATTTAGAAGACTACTTAAAGTTTCTGAAGTCTGAATTTGAAGAGCCTAAACAAGTGGTGCCTGACACCTACCATTTATTGGAATGGAGTTTATGATACTGATGAGGTCACCAGGAGCCAGATTTTCTCAGTATGGAAACCAGATGTTGTTGTATGGAATAATAAGCATTAATGCAATTTTTAAAGAACATCTTATCTTAGTTTCAGGAATTCACACACTGGATGAATTTGGCTCAAGTGTAAAAAAGATTAAGTGTTAACAAAATTAGAAAAAAGTGGGACTTATAAATGAAATTAATAAAATTTAGTTTTGGTGGGGAGATGGCTTTAATTTCTAGAAATAGGTTTAGAAAAGTAGCAAACAGATATTATCTATTCTTACTTCAAAATGAAATCCTTCTTTAAGTGCAATTGCCTTCAAAATTTTGGAAGAGACTGTGGTGGCTAACATATAAATGTTCTTCACGTTAGCATTTCCTGATTTACTTTTCTTCCAGCAATCAAACATCCACCACCCAAACAGAGCTGCCAACTCATTTCCTGTGAAAACTTTCCAATGACCACTGCAGAGAGAATAAAAATTCAAGTCAAGAACTTTATAACTTCTCACTAAAACTTCTTGACCCCAAGACCTACAAGTTATCAGCCTCCACATAGGAAGACCCAAACACTATTGTATGGAATTTTTGAGAAAACATTTACTACTACTTTTCCAACTGACCAGGGGTGAGCTTAGGGTAGAAATGGAGCAATGTCTTTTGAAAAATTGTTACTTTTATTACCTTACTTAATGAGAAAAAAGTGAATAATATGATGTCCTTTCTATGTAAAGACAATTGTTACATTATAATGGCAAAAATGCACAGCAACTCAAAGGTCCAAGATTAGGAAACGATCCCATTGATAAGCAATCTGTGGTGATATTATGCCATTTTAAAATTTAATATTTTAAACAATAATTAAGGACAGGGAAAAATGCTCACAGTATGATATTAAGTGGAAAATTATATAACATATACATGGTGGGCTAAAAGTAGGTTTACACTTGTTCGTATGGAAAATAATACAAAAATAAACTATGTTTTGTGTACTCACAACTGTAAACCTACTTTTGCCCCAACCTGTATAGTATGATCACAATTTTGTAAAAACAAGTATCTTAAATATTTGAGTAGAAAAAACATAGAAAGGAAATGTTAAAATATCAACCTAGATGGTTATACCTGAATACTGGGCTTATAGGAGATTTATTTTCTTATTTCTTATATTATTTCCAACAAGTCTATAAGACTTAAAATAAAAAATTGTTTTTCAAAATTTAAGCTTTTAATCAAATAACAGGTTCTACTGACTTCTCCTGAAGTTCTGCCACTGCCAGTCGGTCTGCATCAGGATCTGTGGCTACCACTATCCGGGCATTTTCTTTCTCTGCCAGTCTCAAAGAAAGTTCCTGAAACAGTGACCAAAAAAGCTGGGTTGTATTTAAGATGTTAAATTCAATGTTAATATTCCTAAATGCAGGCACTATGCTAGTGATATAAATTTTAGAAGAAAGATAGTTCAGCTAAACTTAAAATAAGCCTAGAAGTAGGGATATCTACCATAGAGATTTCAAACAAAACAGTATACATGGCTCCAATATAATTTGAAAGATGTAAACTAATGGTTTCTGCTTTCGTAAGTAATCTTTGAATTGTCAATGAGTTCTAGCTATTTGATGAAGTTTAATACACTAATAATAATTTAAATATAGAAGAAAAATACCAGCACAGATTCCCCCTCTTCAGGATTTGGGCATTTAACGGTAGAAAAGTCTGGGTCAGGATCTTTTTGTTCAGGTACTGGAATTGGAGGCTTAAAACCAAACACTTGAAAAGCCAACTGCACATAGTCATGTCCGACCCCATGAAAAGATGTATGTACAAATTTCAAGGTAGTCTTTGCGTTTAATTCCCTGTAAAGGAAAATCATCATTCAATCAATCATAAAACTCATTACTTGTGATATAATTAAAACAAGCTAGAGAAAAAGCAAAAACCTGTTTTGTAGGATAGGGGAAATACACTCAGCAAGCCAGGATGCTTTCTAGCAATAGTGTTAGCTATTTACGAAATAGTTATGAAAATATGGAAATAGAAAAGGAAAAATAAATTTTTAGAGAAAATTTCCTGATCATATACAGAGAGAATACATATATTTAGCTAAACTTTTTTAATAGCTCTACTGAGAGGTAATTAATATACTATACAGTGCATCCATTTAATGTGTACAATGCAATGGCTTTCACTATATTCAGAATTTTTCAACCATTATCATAATTAACTTTAGAACATTCTCATTACCCCAAAAAGAAACTCCATACCCCATAGCTGCCACTCCCTAACCTTCCCATTCCTCCCAGGCACAGGTAACCCCTTAATGTACTTTCTGTCCGTTTCTATCTCAATAGATTTGCCTACTCTGGACATTTCATATACACAGAATCATATAATATGTGGTCCTTGGTGACTGGCTTCTTTAGCTTAGGATAATGTTTTCAAGGCTTATCCATGCTGTAGTATGCATCAATATTTCATTTTTTAAAAATATACCTTTATTGATTTCAGAGGGAGGAAGGGAGAGGGGGAGAGAGAGATAGAAACATCAATGATGAGAGAGTCGGCTGCCTCCTACACACCAACCACTGGGGATCGTGCTCGCAACCCGGGCATGTGCCCTGACCGGGAATCGAACCTTGATCTCCTGGATCATAGGTCAATGCTCAATTGCTGAGCTACGTCCAGCCAGGCAATATTTCATTTCTTTTCACTGCTGGATAATATTTCATTGTATGGATATGCCATATTTTATTTCTCTCTTCATCAGTTGATGGATATTTAGGTTATTTCCACTTCTTGACTATTATGAACAGTACTATTTAGCTGTAATTTTAAATAAAATAAACAGCCAATGCATTTTTATTGTGCTTTCTTTCCCTTATTTGTTAATCTCATTGATACCTGTGAAAACAGATCTTTTTCAGATCTTCCATATATCTCCTACAAATGTCCTGCAGAGGATCTTTCTTCAGTGGGCTGGTATCCACTAAATTATCATTCCAGGAACCATTCCAGGGTTCCACACATTCTTCTATACATTTCAGAATTTCTTTATCATGAGGAGATGTGATCTGAGCACCCGTTTCCCAATAAACCTAGATAATAGGTAAATACAGTTATAAATACTTGAAATGTTGGCCAGATATTTTCTTAGCTACAGTAGAGATATTTGATTTTAAGAAGCACACCAAATTAATCAAGTAGAAAATGTCAACATGGGGCTAGTTTAATAAATACCAAAGTATACTGATGGAAATGATTAAAAGGGACTCTTCAACAAAATGATCATGTATAATTTTTTCTTTTAGAAGTATACTTTAATAAAATTAGGGCCTTGTTATGACAACATTATAATATGCATAAACCATAGGATCCAATCATACTCTTATATAACTATATACCTATGATAAATCTAAGCAATCATGGAATATCCATAAAACTTGATATTATAAAACTTGAGCATTATAAAGTGGTCCTGTTATGTGATAAAGAATAAATTATTTTTCAGTTATAAAGTAGAATTTATGTCACACCAAGTAAAGTCTAAATCAGGAAAGACAACATGTTAATTTTAATATATGCATTTTCAGTATTTAATGAAAATACATATACTTCATTAAGTTGTCAGTTTGTCAAGTAGTTTGATCAACAAGACATTAGGGACAGTTAACAAAAAAGGCAAGAAAATGTATTTCTGTAATTCATGGGATCTCAAAGTTAGAAGGGACTCTGATTAGAGAGTATCTATACTGACTTCTACTTTGTATATGACATGAATTCCCTCTACTGCATCCTGAATGAAGAAAGGAATACAATTGAATAAGTATTATGTACAAGTTCTGTGCCAAGCAATATGATGAACTAGATGACCTGAGAATTCTCACTCTATAAAGACCTCAAAATGCTAAATACAGTAGAAAAAGTATTATCTAAAATGCATAGCTTAGTTCACAAGAAGGAAAGGGAAAACTCCAGGCAGTGGGGAACAAAGGAAAGAATTGAAAATCAGAGTGATAAGGCTGTGGACTGATACTGTGGCTGCCTGGGGTTTAAGAACTGTCCATTTATTCAGTTCTTGAGTTGTAATGCCCATGTGGAAAGGAGGAAATTGGAACTGAGTCCTCCCCACTGCTCTGGTGGAAATATAGAATAGAAATAGTTCTGCCCATTATTATAGAGTTAATATGGAATCTAAGGAACAAAATAAACCGATGAACAAGATAGGACCACAGACATGGAAGCATGAAACAGACTGACAGACCTCAGAGGAACGCGGGAAGGAGGGCGGGAAGAGATTAACCAAAGAACTTACAAGCATATAGGCAATAACCCATGGACACAGACAATAGACTGGTGGAGGCCTGGGATATGGTAGGAGATGGGTGGAGGGTGGCAAAAGGGCTAAAATGGGGGACATCTGTAATACTCTCAACAATAAAATAAATTACAAAAAAAAGAAAAAAAGAAAGATAATGAGGAAGCCATGTCTGTTTTTTCTTGGGCTCTGGGTGATTTAAAAAAATTCAAATCTGAGGTCTAAATTAACACAGAAATTGCTCCCAGTCAGTGAAACTCTAAGGTTCCTGAAGAAATTAAAAACAAAACCAAAAACTGCTGTGAAGGGATGTTCCTATAGTCCAAGCCACAAGAAAGATTCTATCCATAGGCCCTGAAAGCTCTCTGTGAACATTTATAAAACATGAGAAAAAATCCTGGCCTTTCTTCCTGCGCACTTTTTCTTGCCTTGTATGTGGACATGATGCCTAGAGATACAGCAACGATTATATGATGACCACACTTGAGGGAAAGGCCAAAAAAACTGCAGAGATGCTAGGCCTGATGCCACTGAGCTACAGAACCATGCCAGCAGCTACCTACCGCTGGACTTTTTGTTAAGGAAAAAAATGGACTCCTATCAGCTTAAGCCACTTTTCTGAACTCACAACAAAAAGTATCCCTACCTGACATAGCAACAAAAAATCCATGCAACAAAATATACTCAGGAACAAAGCTTTAAAAGAAATGTTAAAAAAATCTATTAAAAATTTTTTTAATGTTACTAGAAGATCTATAAGAAGTCTTGAGAGAACAGAAAGATAAATTCTGTTGATGAATAAGGATACTCAATAATATAAAAATATTGAAGCTTCCTAAATTAATCTGCAAATCACATATGATACCAATATAAATGCCAAAATAATCGTTTTTCCAAATGGAAAAGTACCATAAAACCATGCATGGAAAAAACAGCAACAACAACAAAAACAAAACCAAAAACCATGCATGGAAAAACATCAAAACATCTATCCCTTTCGTTTTTATGACACCAACATTTTCTGGTCTTTCTCCTATCCCAGCACTTTTTCTTTCTCCATTCCCTTAAAGTTGATACTCTGTAGGGATCCTTTCTGGGCCTGTTTTTCTACTATATACTGTCTCTGGGCTGCTCATCCAAGTAAAGAGCTTCCAAATACACTTAAGTACTCTAATATGTATGCTGACCCCAAAATCTGTAACTTCAGCCCAAATTTCTCCCCTGAGCAACAGATTTATATATCTAACTGCATATAGGACATTGCTACCTGGTTGACCAAATATCTCAAACTTAATATATTGAAAACTGAATTAATCATACTTCTTCCTTGCTTATGTGACTGGTAATACTACCCACTTAGCTGGCCAGGGCCTAAATCTTAGATTACTATTAAATCTTATTTTCCCCAGTAAACAGAGCTCAGTGTACCCGAAGACTTTCCACACAAGAAGAAAAGCAAATATAAGATCATGGAATCATCACCCAGGAGCCCAAACACGGGCTCAGTATTGTGCTATGTATTTTCTATTTGCCCCTCCAGGGCCATTCTTCACCCTTCTCCACTCTGCTTTCTGTCACAGAGGCTGATGCATCAAGTGGATCCTGTGGCCAATGGGAAGCCCTGGTAGAAGGTTAGAGGGAAAGAAGAGTGGCGTCAAGGTACTATTCCTCTGGCTCTCTTCCTGAAACTCCAATTCATTTTGATACAATGTGATTTTATTTCTGAAATGGAAAAGGTTGGATTGAGGGTAGAATGGAGAAATCAAGGGCAGTGAGATATTAGATGTAAAGACACCAATAAAGAGACTTTTGTAATAATAGTACATGTTGAGAAGTAATAAAAGCCATTAGGGATACACATTCTTTGAGGGTTGGCTTCAATGTTTTTATCTTCCTGTCTCCAATGTCTAGCTCTGCTCTCCAGTGTGGAAAATATACCCAGCACTTATTATTTAAATAAAACAAGAAAGACACAAATAAGCAAAGAATAGGAGTCCAAGGTTTACCTTGTATCCATTATCCTCTTTGCGGTTGTGAGATGCTGTAATCATTACACCTGCAACTGCTTTGAGCTCCTGGACTGCATATGGCTGAAAAAACAGTGACAGAATAATTTCCTTTTGCTTTCTGGCTACTCACACAACTGACATCAAGAATACCTTTGACTACATAACAGGAAAAGACATTAAGATACAAACACCCTAGAACCTCAACAATCAACTCCAGTTCACTGGTTGGGGCCCATTTCTAAAAGGTCACCAATAATTTTACCTGTTACGCTGAATGGCTTTTCCGCCTAGTCTCATTTAACTTAGTCCTATAAATGGTTTTTATTATTTTGTTCATTTAACAAATACTTAATGAGCACCTACTATATGCCAGACATTCCACTAGACTCTGGAGATATGAGTGGTGAATATAATCATAAAATGTTAGAGCTGGAAGTAAATTTAGAAATCACCTAATCCATCACATTTTACACCGAGGTTTATCCAACATTATACAATCATAAGGGAGGAGATTCAAGGGTATACAGGTCTCTTGCCTTCCAATTTGAAAATCTGTATATATACTCTGTAGCCTCTATATCATATAAAGGTCAACTCACCATCTTTGTTCCCAAAGTTAATTCCTAGAGGTTATATTTCCCTTTTTCTCTGTAGTACTTATTATTTGCTCAGGGTGTTCCCCTTCCTCCTCTACCATTACATCCAACTTCTTTCCTCCTGGTCGTGGAGGGACGCACACATGATCCAGTTCTGACCAGAGTAACTTATCCCTTGATGATTTAATTCAGAAACTGGTTCATAATGCAAGCCTCTCTGCTGAAGGTAGACAAGGAAGGCTGCCTTTTAACTCAAGGTTATGGTCATAAAGGGTATGAATCTGGGACTCCTAAAAATACCTTTCCTACCAGTTGGAGCAATAAGAGAAGGCACACTGGGATTGATAGTAGTTGGGACTGACAATCCAGTGGCAGAATCCTATAGAAATGTTCTAAATTTCTGGATCCTTGCTGGTTTCTGTCATTCATTAGAGCTAACTGTTTAATAACTACTTCAATTCTTTGAACCACTCAGTATATTTCCAATAAATCACTAGTTACCATTTATAGAGACATTATCTCTTCCTCAAACATTTGGTAAAACTTGCCTATAAAATCATCTGGAGTTGGCATTTTTAATTTGAGAAAATTTAAAAAACATATCAGTTCAGTTTCTTTAGTGGTTATAGGTCTATTCAGGTTTTCTATTTCTTACCAGTTTTGATGTATCAATTACTCCAGGAAATTGACCAATTCATCTAAGCTTTCACATTTATTTGCATTATGTTGTTCAGAATATTGTGGTTTTCATAACCTCTACTGTATTTATTATGTACCTAACGACATTTCTTTGTCTTCTCTTTTTTTCTTGAGCACCCTTGCTAAAGGTTTGTCTATTTTATTAGTGTGTTCAGAGAGCCAACTTACACTTTTGTTGATACCCTTTTCTTTATTTTCTATTTAATTGATTTTTCCTTATATCTTTATAATTTCCTTCCTTTTACTTTATTTGAATTTATTTTCATTCTAACATACTAAGTTAAAGGACTATCTCATCATTTTTAAATCTTTTTTTCCTAATTTATTCATGGACTATAAATTTCCCTTTAAGTAGGGCTTTCGTTAGAGCCAATCATTTTTACTATTTATTGTTGCTCAGTTTTGAATACAGGCCGTCCTTGCTTTGCACAGTTCCAATATACACGAATTCCTGACACTGTGTTTTAGTTAATACCAGTCTTCCAACAATATGTTTAAAGTTCAATTACTATGCTCTATTAACTGTGAGTAATGGTATCAAGGACAAACTTGGCTGCTAGCTCTTTAGTCCAGAACAATTATGTAGATGAGATCCATCGTGATCAGTGACCGATCACGTCACTCTGTTAGGCCTGTCAGTAACTGGTCGCTGTGCATGTGTTACTCAGCTCTCGCAGACAGCAACGCGTGCAGTTGTGTTGACTCCTTATTTCTCAGTGATAAACCCACACGACAGCTTGCAAGAAATGGATAAATGAAAAAAGGAACTGGCCAACAAAGATGAAAATGCAGCAAAAACATGAAAAGTTATAATGGTGGAAATGAAATTTGAATCGAATGTAAATGGAGTTATAGAAAAAAATAACTGGACATGTTAACACTGCTGTCATTCAAGAGACTCTAGGTCTGCAACCAGGCGAGTTTAGTGAAGGTGAACGTGTGGATGTGAGAGAGATGGTTGTGATGAAAAGGATGACAATGTCCCCAGGGAAGGTGACACTGGCAAAAAAAAAAAAAAAAGGAATTCTCAGAGATATTTCACAATATTGAAAGTACCAAGGATAAACTGTGGAACGCTGATCCAAACTTAGGAGTGTGACAACTTGCTAAGGCATAGAAAAGATGCTTGTCATATTGTTAAGGGACATGACAAGAAGCAAGCATTGTTCATACTCTTGGCAAATTATTTTACAAAGGAATAAAACACTTTAGTCCTCGAAGTTTTAAATTACAGAGTACTAAATGAATATTAGTTTTACTATTTTTTTCTTTTCCCTATACATTTTTAGCTAATAGTAAGTGTTAAGAATGTTTTGACAAAAAAATTTTAAAGTAAGGGTTAAGAGTGTTTTTATGTTTTGACAAAAAATGTTAAAGGTTACAGAACAACTTTTCCTATTAATGATTAAGTTTGATTTGCATGGTTTTATAGTCCTGCACTAGCAAGCAAAGAAAGGATTGCCTGTAGTTTCTAATCCTCACTATGATATCTTGCTTAACCCATAAATTACTTATAAAGGCATTTTTAAAATTTCAACATTGGGTTTCTTCATTTCGAATCTTATTGCATTGGGGTCCAGGGCTAGAGCTTGATAAGGAGTTCTCTGGTATTTGTTGAGATTTCCTTTGTGATCCTGCTTGATAAGAATGAACACCCTACCACCACTAAATACAGGGTTTACACACACACACACACACACACACACACACACACACACACACATATCAAACATGTTAACTGTGTTCAAATCTATCCTCAATTATTTTTGCCTGCCTGATAAATGTTTCTGAAAGAATAGTATTAAAATATCCCACCATGACTGTGGATTTGTCAACTTGTCACAGATCAAATTCTTAGGTGATTCAACACATGCTTCTTGAATCAAAATAAATTCAGAGCAACAGTTGTTTTCCTTTGGTTCTTCCTTTGGCACGTCATATCACTTAATAGAGAACTACATGCAGGACAAATATTTGAATCCTTGTTGACTTAAGAAATCTTTTTAAGGACAGCAAACTGTAAGATCAGTAACACAACACACTTACTACAAAAGGTGTAGGAACATATTTTGAAAAAAGGTACACGGGAACATCTTTGGCCAGTAAGACTGCAGCAGTGAGTTTAGCAAGCCTAAAAAATAAAAATTTAAAGTTTTCACTTAGTCTTACCATACTTTTTAAAAATCAACCTTCCATAATAAATGTTTCACATTACAATTATTCTGAATATATAGCATCCTAATACAACTAATTCCTATAATCACTGGTTATTTAAGCTTCATGCTCCAAGTTAAAAATGTTAAACAAGTGAGATTTTTTAAAAAGGAGCTTAACAATAAAGAAAATTGACATTTTCATTTCTTCCTTTTTCCTCATTTATCTTTTGATGGCTCTTTTACTAAGAAATAAAACCTGAAAAAGGCAAAAATAATGGACAACAGTGATATGAGACTTTAATAAACACAATATGCATAACTACCTTGTGAAAAAAGTTATTAGTATATCATGCTTATCTATGTGTAAAAATGCCCTAAACTAATCAAATAAGACTACAATGAGCAAATAGAAGCTACATCATTACTCCTGCCCAGTGCCTTCGTCAAAATACAAAGTCATAAAATAAGCCATGATGACATTCTAAATATAAATTCTAAATACTTTTAAATATTACTCCTTTCTGTAAAAGCTAAAGCTTAACTTGGAAATGCTTCTATTTCAGCTCTAAAATAAATATTAGCATGTGATCACATTTCTATTTGACAGTTTCCTGGTTCAGATATCCTACTACTAGGGGGAAAAAATTAAGGTTTTTTTCCCAATCCATTTTAATCTCTGAAACAATTAACACTGTACCTCTGGCTGCTGCAACTGCTAGTCACTTGCCCGCGGGTATCATACCCAACGACAAAGCCTCTCTGCTTGAAGTCTGAGAAACATCTCTCCAGGTATTTGTACATCCCCTGAATCAGATAAACACAAAACATTAGCTTCTGACTAATGCCTGCATTTTTCTACGACTTAAAGTCTATTATTTTTATGTGCAGTGTGCAGTTTATGGGCTCCTGGGGATCTGGCTTCTGCCTTTATGCCCATGTTTACCAATACTGTTCAATCCTCAAAGGTGAGATGACAAACATTATTTCCTGGAGTTTCAGACACATTTAATGCCAAAGAAATATCAATTAAGTAACCATTAAATCCAATGTTACATAAAACATAAGGGGGGGGGAAGATGGGACATGAGAGTCAGTATGCTAAAAATATTGTTAGAAGAGCCAAAAGAAATTGTTTCTTGCCTTAAGGCTCTAGAGAACAGAATTTGACCAATTTAGGCCTTGCTAAATCACAAGATGAAAGCTAACCAAAAGATTTCACCTATTTATGACACAAACATTTTAAATTAGCAACATAAACCTTCATTAGAACATTTCTTAAAATGGCTTATCCCATTTGTAGTTCCTTGGTTTTAAAATCTCACAGAAAAGAAAATCCTATAAACTAGGAATATTAACAGTTAAGGGTGATGAAAAAATGAAGTATTTAATATTGAAAACATCATGGCAATAGCTAAAACCATTTAACTATCTTATGAATGATTTGCTAACTTTAACACTTTTGTTTCTAAAAGTAAAACTTCATGTTGTTACAGTCCTTTTAAACCACTTTCACAAATGTTGCCACACTTAATCCTTGAAAACTCTGAAAAGAAAGAAATGCAGATACCATTTCTGTTTTTGTCTCTTTCAACATCTCTTCAAAAAGGAAGCAGAATAAGATTGATGGTCCACTTAATGGTTTGCCTAAGGCCGTTCATTCAACTAAAAACTAAGTTATACTGATTAAAGACCTACTATATGGCAAGCACTGCTATAACTATGTGGCAGCATCAAATGAGGCCTCAGTGACTTCTGGACCTTTCTTTCAAGGCTCTTTCAAGAATAATTATTCTTGCCCTGGCCCGTGTGGCTCAGCTGGTTGGGTGTTCTCCCATGCACTGAAAGGTTGCTGATTTGATTCCCCATCAGGCACATGCCCAGGTTGCAGGCTCAATCCCTCGTAGGGGCTGTGCAGGAGGCAGATGATCCATGCTTTGCTCTCACATCAATGTTTCTCTCCCTCTTTCTCCCTCTCCCTTCCTCCCTTCCTAAAAATCAATTTAAAAATCTTTTAAAAAGAGAATGATTATTCTTCCCAACCTACTCTCTGAGTGTGTGTGTGTGTGTGTACATGTACATCCAAATTGGCTAGTTTCACCCACTTATTTATTTCTAATGATTATACTATCCTAAAACCTCACAGAACCTCATATTATTCTATTATTCTCTGGTATGAAAATCCATTTTGTCTTATCCCCCTATACCTAGATTCTGAAAGGGTTAAGGCTGAAGAATCAGATTCCATCTGACTTATCCACTTCACACTCAACTCCTATAAAAATCTGCACTTCTACAGAAATTGATTTTCAAACAGTTCCTCCACCCCATTTTATAAAGTCAAGGAATCTTCATTTAAACAGAAAGCTTATGAGCAAACCCAATATATAAAAAAGACTGAACTGAAGCATCCTAGATGAGGAGACAGGGTTGGGGAGGTGGTATGTATCTTGTCATCCCTTCTTCTCCATCTCCCACATTAGCCCTTGGCTTTAGAAAATTCCCTCAGAACAAGGCTAAAGATGATTTACTATTTGGCAGGATCAGTTAGAATTATGACTACTGAACATTTCTTTAGTCCAGAACTATTTTTAGTACATGCTAAATGCATTTTGGCCTTCAAGTAAAGTATAGTTCCTTTAAGCAGGGAGGATGATTCACTGGAAAGAGAAGTAAATTGTTTCCAAAATAAGTTGCATAAAAGGAGGAGAAATAAATAGTATCACGTCATACACTGTCTTAAAGAACTCTCAAATGGATATGAAGAACCAAGGGAAATATTTTCAACTACATTTTCCAAATACTCTGGTTAACCTTTATCAATGGCCATATATCAAAATGGGTAATCTAAACTGGAAATGTCAATATTCATTTCCTGGGTTTCAAGTGCAAAGTAACACTGTCAAGAAGTTGACAATGACAACCAAAATAACTCCTAATGAGAAAGTTAGCCTGTGACCTTGAAGATACAGAAATGACTTCTAAGAGAAATCAAATGTCAGAATTTATTTGACTTGTGTTTTTAACCTACAAGAGAGTATCTTCCTGGATACTAAGGTGGGGGTTTTTTTTGTTAATTTTTTTTTTTTTTTTTTTTAATATATCTTTATTGATTTCAGAGAGAGGAAAGGAGAGGGAGAGAGAGAGATAGAAACATCAATGATGAGAGAGTCATCGATCGGCTAGCCCACAACCTGGGCATGTGCCCCGGCTGGGAACCGAACCCCAATTGCCTGGATCCCAGGTTGACGCTCAACCGCTGAGCCACGCCGGGCTGGGCAAGGTGTTTTATTTGTTTTGTTTTGTTGTTGTTGTTTGTTTTTATTTTTAGAAAGGCACTACTTAATTTATAAGGCAAAAAAACAGAGTGATAAAAAGTGTACATACTTTATAATATTTACCTGTGTTGACTGTATTACTGTAAGGTCATTAATATAACAAAATCCTGCCCCCATAGCAGAACGAAGTCCTGCAGTCCCAAAAGTCATTCGGCAACAAAGACGATCCCGCAGTTCCTTGTTCATTCCATTTCGTAACAGATTTTCAATTTGTTCTTTTGTTTTGGGATTCTATTAAAAAAATGTATTAAAACTTAATCAAGATCATAAGCAGATTCCTAATATGAAGTTTTTCTGAGGAGCCAATAAATACTATGCATATATCACAAGATTCTACATTCACTATAAATTCCATAGTGCTATTTAGTATTAATATGTATAATAAAATAATACCTGCCATTTACTGAGTCCCCAAAAGAGCCTGTGGTTATTTACATTAAGGGTGACTTACATTATCTCTAATTGTCACAGTTCTTTTCATAACATGTTCAAGAACGTTTTTTAAACAAATTGATAAAGAGCTATGGATCCAAAATAAACCTTAGTCAAAAAACATCACTTAAATTAGAGTCTATATTAAGTTTTAAAAGAAATATAGAAGCTACTGGGTATATGCCATCAAAACATGCCTACCAACTAGCTACCTAAACCTCTGTAATTCAAAACGACCAGATAAGCTACTGTTCTTTCAAGTCACAGAAAACTTCTATTTTATCTATAGTAAGAGTTGACCATAAAAAGTTCTTAGGTGTTAAATGTGGACTTAGTTAAGAATGAGAATGAAAATTCAGTCCAAACATGGCTTGTGAGGCAGGACATGCCAACAACTATATTTTAGGATTCTGTATTTCATTAGTACATACTGTAACTTATTTTCATAAATCTCAAGGATGTCTGTGACTAAAAGTAGTGCTTCACAAGAAAAACTAGCAAGTTTCAAATAAAATGCAATTTTAATAAGACCAAAACTTTACTGGAATTTTCTACTATTTTCTTTCTAGGAGAAAGAGTCAAATATTAAGAAAGTAAGGTGAACTATAATATCTGCTTGAATTCTCAGTGCTTTATAAAGCAGAGGTTTTTCCCCCCAAAGGACATGAATATTAAAAAAATAAATATACTTTGGTGTGAATTGTACTGTAGCATAATATCAACTCTCTTACTGTTAAGTTTTTCTTTATAATTATGTAAAAGATCCTTGATATTGGGGGGGGAAGATGTTTAAGTCATTTGTTTTATGTAAGTGTGAATCTAATTTTACAGAAACCACAAAAGGAACTTATTTTTGTAAAGTATGACATTTCTACTTAGAGAACATCTTAGGCTGTATTTAATATGTTATTTTATCGTTGACTTTCGTTCTGTTAAGAAGCTATAGCTTCTGAAATTCCTATGGAGTACTATTTAGAGATAAGTTAATAGTATCCACATTTTCAAAAGTTATATACTAAGTATTTATACAGTATAAGAAATATAATACTTCAATTTTGTTTGAGTGCTTTCAACCATTAAAATAGTTTTGACTATTTGATTTTTTTTTTTTAAAGGAGCTATTTAACGTCCAGGGTTATTTTTATTTGAATAAGTGAAAAGCAAAACAATTTTTTAACCAAATGGGAAATTTAAACAAAACTATTCCTAGATTATGCCTTGGTTACTTTGGAGAAAGGAGGAAGGGGGAAGAATGGGATCAAGGAAGTGAATACGGGAAATGAAACTTAATCTGTAATTTGCTTATTTCTTTAAAAAAGAGATCTGATTCAACTTTAGCAAAATGTTGTGATTTAACAAAATGGGAACTGTTTCTCATTCTCTGTATTTTTAAAAAAGAAGAGAGAAATCCATTTATTAATAAGTCTCAATACTTATTTTCTTAGAGGGCTCTATAGGCACTCTAATGTAAAACTTTGATACCCATATTTCTAGAAGAGTCTCCAGGCTACCTACCCTCCACAACTCCAATCATCACATCCCAATTACATACTGCAGCCAGATTAATCGTCCAAGAACCAACAATAGAGTCCAATTCTGGTCACATCAAATGTAAAGGTTAGGAAGGGTGGGACCAGGTTCCAAAGGGCAGAAAAGTTGAAAACCATTTTGGATTCTAATATTCTCTTTATTTCTCTGAGTCTGAGTTTGTGTATAGGTTAAAAAATGGAAATAACTACCTCAAACAATCTTTAAGAGGATTAAAGAGACTTTTTACATGGAAGCATCTAGTATAATGTTTGGCATATGATTACTCAAAAAACACTAGTTTTCCTTCATCTATTCATAACTGCCACAGCAGTCCAAAAACATACATTATACTTTAGTTTTTAAAAATCTCTTCATTGTTCTTACATGCTCTTTGTTCAGTTTCATTTGCTGATCAGTTTCATTTTCCATTTTTTAATTTCTCCCATCTTGAGTTTTCTACCTCCATTTCCATTATCTATTCCTATCCTACTTATCCATCAGGGCCCAGCTCAAATTCTGCTTTTTATGGAAGGGCTTCCTGACTTTGAACTCCTATTGCTCTTAAGAACTAGCAGTCAAACAGCTGACTACTTAATTGTTCTTAGTTTATATTTTAAATTTTATTTTTAATTATTAATTACAAACTACATCAATACACTTTCCTTGTATAAAAACTTACTAATAATATAGATAAAACTACAGACATCTTTGACTATCATCTTCATTCCCAGACTCCTGCTTTGGGGGAGCCAGTACTGATGTGATGCATCCTTCCAGAACTTTCCCTTCATCTACATACTTAGGGAAATGTAGTTTTGCTCTCTTTTTATTATATATGTGTGTGTGTGTATATATGTTTATATATGTATATATATGTGTATATATATATATATTTGTATATATATACATGGTATTAAATTGTACATGGTGCACTATAACTTGCTTATTTCACTGACTATACCACGGAGGTCCTTTCAGTACATGTAGATCTATGCTCTTCTTTTCAACTACTGCAGTTTATTTATCCTTTGCCCTATTATTGGTGGGCATTTACGTTTTCTCTAATTTTTACTTGCATGAATAATAAAATACTTCAGAGGGAAAATTACATGAGAAAATTCTGAAGCAGAAACCAGAAAATAAAACCACCACTTACAATGAATTTATTGAAGAGATTTTCTAACAAGATTCTGGTTAGCTGAAAGCGAAAATGCCTTTGTATGTAAGCAGCACAGTATTTTTCATTTACACTATAATTTTCATACTCTTTTGAGCACTAAATATGACCATTTTCATAGTTTCATTTGGTAAGATACAGTGCTCACTAAATTGTTTGGTGTAAAAGATCCCACGCAGAATTGGATACACTAATATCTTTTCTTTCCACCAGCATTAATCATTTTCTCCATTAACTCCCAACACCAGAGGGCAGCAGCCTCAGTACTAATTAACAATAATGCAAAGAGTGATTTAATGAAAAAATACTCCTTTAGTAAAGTCTGCACTAAATTACTAATCGACCTTTTATTTGGGGAAAAAATATTTCTTAAAAAAACAGAACAGACATACAAGTAGATAAAAAACAATTAAAACAAGCAAATAATGTTTATTTTCTTTGCATAACTTAATCCTTGGTTAGTCATTGACATTCAGATTTTTCTGGAAAGCTGGTATGGGTTTTCTCTGTTTTTGTATATATAGGCATATTTTCTGCCAGTCTCCTCTTAAGGAGAATGGCCAACTGAGAGCTGTTTTTAAGAGGGGCTTATTGTTCTGCACACTTTGTTAGCACTAATTACATTACATAAACTTTTAAAAGAATAATGAAAACTAATAGCATAATGAAATTTAGGAGGTGTAAAGAAGTGTGAATTAGCTCCCATTTTTCATAGCATGTATTTGACAGATAATATCTAAAATAAATCAAGGAATAGTGGTACTCGTATATTATTTAGTCTTTTGATGGTAACCATGAGAATAACTAAAAACAAAGTTAAAAATGGCTTCTAAGGAGCAAATTGCAGATAAGAAGAGGAAGTGAGAAACATTACTTTCCTTTATAATCCCTTTTATACTATTTTTTATCATAAGCATGTTTTTTTTGAAACACAAATACATTAAAAGAAAATGGTAGAAACTGGGGAAAATGTAAAAAATTTGGAAATAAAAAGAAAATTTTTATTTTTAAAAAGGGAAATAAATCCAAACTCTCATTTGTATGTACTAAATTTCTTGGACAGAAGGAGAATGTTGTTGCCAAGGAGACCAAAGCAACTGTTGAGAAGCAAATTTAGCTCTTTAAAAAATTTCATGGTAATTTATTCTGCTGAATATTACATCCAATTCTAGCTTTAAAAAATGCCAGTAAAATGGTTTTAATGAGGTCCTTGAAACACAGTATATGATATGTCACTAACATTTACTAAATATGCAGATTATAGAGTCTAGTACAGTGACAAGAAAATTAGAGTGTAGGTCAAATGACCTGGGTTCTAGTCCCAACTCTACTACTTAAAAGCCATGTATCTTTGAGCAAGTCATTTTCCTTTTCTGAAACTAAATTTCTTTACTTGTAAAAATGGGATAACCACTACCTAGCCTGCCTACCACTCAAGGTTGCTGTGAATATAAAAATTTTTTAGATCATTTTACAAAGTTTGACACACTATACAAGTAAGTTCAAGTAGTAAGTACTAATATTTCCCAAGGTTGATAAAGCCATATGTATTCTGTACTTTTCATTGATTAAATGCCAAATTAAGTAAAGTACTACAAAAATGTGAACAAAACAATGTAATACGAACTATTATTGTAAAAGTTGGATTGAACTAGGTGGCGGATCCAAACTCTGGTTCAGGCTCTACCACAACTGGATAGCTTCCATAATTTCTTTTGGTCTCTACATGGTGAAATTGGACTAGACCACCTTGAACTAGAAGTGCTTCATGGTATATTTTCCATCACATGATGATGATTTAAAAGGGAATTAATTCACCACATTTTTATCTGGGCTATATTTTGCTTGAAAAAATTTCACTGCTGGATGTCTGAAAGTCACTGGCTTTGATTGAAGTCTTTTATTTCTATTTTCAGGCATTTCGTAACCTTATCTAACCTAATCTATCTTTAACTTTTCATTCTACTCTTTCTCAACATAGACCTACATTGAGACCAGAGTGCTCTACTCACTATTTTTCATAATGTCATGGCCAATTTCTGTCTCCACATTGTTGTCAATATTTAGCTGTTGCTGCTACAGCTGGCTGCCGGTTGTGGCATCTCACTCGCACCAAAACTTGGCCAATGCTTAATACCCTGGATATAAGTTTGCTTTCAAAGTTAAAATATATAGTGGATCAGAAACAGGAGATAACTGTCATGTTAAAGAGAACCTAGCTTCTCGGCCAGCAAGACTGGTCTGTAATTTGATAGAGTGTATGAAAACATAGAAAGAAAGAACTAGGAAGGAAGTGAAAACCTTGGTTAGCCCTAGGGCATAGAAGGGACAGAGCACTGTAGGAGAGTCATGTGTGTATTGCATGGAGGAAGAACACCTTGATCTATGGACTTATTGGGTTCTAGTGGTAGGATAGTACTATCTTAGAGATGTACTACTTATTGCAGGCTGATGTTAAACATATGCCATATATCTGACACCCTGTGATTTGATTTCATAATCTCTAAAAATCTTCTGATTCTTTTACTGCCCTTATGGTGCATCCATAAAATGCCCTGACTAGAGACAAATTCACTTATGTTACATTTGTACCATAAATTAATGAAATAGAAACTGATGAATTCAAACATCAGTTGCTGTGACCTTGCCTCAGTCTGTCCTGAGACAAGACAGAATAAAAAACTATTCTGAAGGCATAGGAACCAACAGTCAGATTCTGGACTACGGTAGATTTACCAATAGAATGCCCTCACTGAAACTATATGAGATACTCCAAACTACCCAATAAACACCTTGTGTTGCACTATTTTCTTTTTAACACTTACACACACCTTTATTTATATAAGGCCACTAAAAACATATTATAGTTGACTCTAGAGCATGTGGTTGTTAGGGGAGCCAGCCTCCCTAAATTCCCTGAAGTTGAAAATCCACTTTTGACTCTCCCAAAACTTAACTACTAATAGCCTACTGTTGACCAGAAGCCTTACCAATAACAGTCAATTAACACATATTTTGTATGTCACATGTATTATATTCTGTATTCTTATAATAAAGTAAGCTAGAGAAAGGAAAATATTAAGAAAATCATAAGGAAGAGAAAATACATTTACAATATTATATTTATTTTTAAAAGTCTGCGTATAAGTGGACCCGCAGAGTTGAAACCTGTGTTGTTCAAGGGTCAACTGTAAAGGCTTTCTATGACCTGGTCTCTACATGCCTTTCCAACAATTTCTCTTTGTACCCTAAGCTACAGCAGAGACAAATGTTCTAAGTACACACATATAAGGATAACATTCACTTGCAATTTAGTTATCCCTGCTGAAGATACACATTAAAGTTTTAATCTCTGCTTGGAAAAGTCTAAATTTTAATTAATTCTGAAAGTTCAGCAGAAACACCACTTTTTTCATGAAGACTTTTCAAAGTACACCATCCCACCAAGGCTAAAACTAGCAATTTTGGTGACTTAGGCAAGTAGCAAATGGCCCTCTGATCAATTTATAAATTATGTGCCTCACTTAGAGTCATTAGAATCAGTGGCATTTGGTAGGTTCCGTCTTTCACTAACTAGGTAATAATCAGGTATTAAACTCAGCTTCTCTATGCTAAAAGACTACATATGCTGTGAACATGTAATGTGATAAATGCTATAAATCTGACCTATTATTTTATATTTTTGCACTCTATATTTCAGTGCCCAGGAATACAGCCTAGCTTACCTACACTATCAGTCTACAGTATATACACCTTTATTTACCAACTAAAAGTATTTTCTCCCATTAAGAGAGGGATTAATTAATCTTTATTATTTTTATTAAATAATTCTAAAAATTATTTAAATCTGTTCCTCTGTTAAGGGCACCTATTACTTGCTCGCTGTATTATATCTGTGAGGCTTTTTTTTATCTTTCCTTCTATGTTCTTTAAAGATATGATCCATATCTATTTCATCTTTGTATTTCCCACAGGTTTTCAGCCAGTGCCTTGTATATATAGAGCATTTTAAATATAAATTAAGATTTTCTCTTCCACTTTCAATGAAGGCTGGGTCTCCTCATTCTGTTTATGTGTATTCCATCTTCTTAGAAAGTCTTCCTTGACCATCCCAGTCCACAGGTCACTCCTACTCTTGAACTCCTAAAACAGCTGTCTATAAATCATTTAATTACCACCAAAACTACTCTAGCATTATCTTTTTATGTTTATATGTATTTTATAGTCATTTTCTATTTCAGTACATTCCAGCAATATCTAGGCACAGCACAATCAATCTTTAAAAAATCAATCAAGAGATTCATTAAGAAAAGTATACTCAAAACTGGCACCTAAAGAGAACAAAATATCTCATCCATGGCAATGAAAAACAAACTCCCATTGTTTAAGGGCCAAAGGCTTTGACATAGACTATAGTTACCAGTAAGTTAAATTGTGTTAGAATTCTACAAGTGTCTTTGAATTTCATAAATCTTCCTTTCACTTTAGGGAGATATAAGTACAACCACATACATTTACTGACAATACCAATGAAAGCAGATGACTTTAAACAAAAACAAATAACTATATTAAACATATAAGGATAACATTTATTTGTAATTTAGTTTTCTCTCCTGAAGACAGTCACATAGTTAAGTTAGTTTGTAGTATATATCACTTTACTGTATGCTAAGCCTTAGCTCTTTTATTTCTATTAGGTTTCCTCCTCCCTAATTGACTAAAAGCAGAAAAGCAATCTTTGAATCTTCACTTCTTTTGTATCCTTCCACAGCAAGGAACTATATTCACAGCAGGCATTTTATAAATACTGGTAAAATGGCTTTACCAGTACATCCTTATGTTAATTAATGAGATATCACAGATTATGTACACTTAATTAAATACACACATATATATGTAACCAAATCCTACAGTAAGAGTTGGTTCTCTAGTTTATTTCCATCAGAACACTCTAGAGCAGTGATTTTCAACCCTTTTCATCTCATGGCACACAAGCTAATTACTAAAATTCTGCAGCACACCAAAAAATATATTTTTTGATGATCTGACCAAAAAAAAAAAAAGTATAATTTTGATTCATTCAGACTGGACAGCTATTGTGTTGGCTGTTGTCATTTTTGACCATCTAAGGGAAAAGAGGTCAGTGCCCCTGACTAGTCAGGTATTGCATGTTTTAAAAATTCTTGTGGCACACCTGTTGAAAATCGCTGCTCTAGAGTCCTGCTACTCAAAGTGTGGTTCACACACCAGCAGCATTGATATCACCTGGGAGCTCATTCTGAGGCAGAATCTCAGGCCCTACCCCAGGCTTCCTAAATCAGAATCTGCATTTTAATATCCCCTGCTGATCTGTAAGCACTTCAACGTTTGAAAAGCACTGGTTTAGACTCCAGAGGAAGAATGAGAATGTCCAAGATGCATATGATCAAGTAATGCTAACTAATTCGTGATTGCTTACTTGCTGGTCTTCCTAATCTGCTAACTGAAGGCTTGTTGAGGGCAGGAACCCTTTCCTATCTTCCTCATCAGTAGTATTCCCTGGACCGACAGGCCCTGGAATATTACCTGTGCTCAGTAAATTTTTTTAAGTTTTTTTTAAATCTTCACCCGAGGATATGTTTTCTTTTTTTTAGAGAGACAGGAAGGGAGGGAGGGGGTGGGGGAGAGAGAGAAACATAGATGAGAGATGTGAGAGACTGGGGATCCACCCCACAACCTAGGTATGTGTCCTGACCTGGAATGACCCTGCAACCTTTTGGTGTACCAGAGATGCTCCAATCAACCCAGTCACTGTGTCAGGGCTCAATAAACATCGTTTGCTGAATGCGTGAATGACTAAGCAAAGTGAAAATAAAACTTTTTCACAAACCTAATCTTTTAGGAAATTATTTGTACAACATGATTTCGCATACTACCACACTAATTATTTAAGTCGGTATTATTCATTCCATTTTAAATGTTGCCTTCTCGACTTCAACAATGCATTTAATACACTCGACAAAGCAAAAGCTTAGATCACCTTCCTTTGTTGGAGCCACCAGGGGCCTCTTTTACAAGTGAGGTAGCTGCATTTTCATTCTGCTCTCACAGATCCATCCCACATGCCCGCACCAGATGAAATCACCGCAAAACTTGGAGGGGGTGGGGAGAAATAGAGGAGGCATGGGTAAAGCAAAAACCACTCTGTATCGAAAGCATCATATAAAAAACCTGGACAACATGATTTTTTTGAACAGGATACTTCCAGAAAACAATTCCTGGCTAGGGAAAGGAGGAGGTTAGAGAACCCTTACCTTTCTCAAGAGCAAAAGGTGATACCATGGAATGATAAAAGACCAGCGGCTACCTAGCGACGAAAGGTGGAAACACACTAGACCAGAGCTAAAGCGGATAGCGGTTAGCAACGTCGGAGAAAAACCACTTTCAGGTTTAGAGAAGGAAGTCAAGGGAAAAGAAAGGGGAAAGGAAATAGCTCTATGGCGGGTACAACTTGCGATGATGACGAATTATTATTTATTATTATTATTATTATATTTGAGAGAGAGAGATGACATGCACTTGAAGGGAGGGGGTGGAAGGAAGAGAGGCGGCGATTGCACTCACTGCAAAAGGAAGCGACTAGAGGCAGGCGTCCCTGCCCAGCTCAGACGGCCCCAGGGAGGCAGCCCAGGCATAGGTGGGTGGCAACGCCCGGCTCCCCAGGCTCCCTCCCGGTGGCCTGAGCCATCTCCTCTGCAGCCGGCCGAGACCAGGTGGGGACAGGAAGAGGCGGACGATGAGGGTGAGGGCTGCGGGAAGAAGGCGCGGATGCTGGGCTGACCAGGTACCCACCTTATCCCAACGGAGCCACTGCGCGATGGCCGTGTCTAGCTGAGGGTCCCCGGTGTGGTAGGGGGCGTGGAGCAGGTTGGAGTTCAGGTCCCCCTCTGCGTTTTCAGCCATGGCAGGCAGGCTGGGGTGTGCGAGCCAGGGGGGCCGATGAAGACGCCGAGTTGGGGGAGCCTGAGGTACGCTCACCAGGGTCCGGACGCCCCCTCCTCACTGAAGGGCATCGGAGACCAGCCGCAGGATGTTCGCGCCAGCTCCTGCCGCAGCTCTGAGAAGCAGGAGAGAGGAGGAGGATGCGGCCACTCGCTCCTCGCCACACCAGCTCCTGGGCTGCTTCTAGGCGAACGGGCTGAAGCGGTCGCGCCAGGAGAGAACAACAACAGTCCCAGATGCCTGGGTCTTGGCCGCGGCAGCCGCCGCCGCCGCCGCCGCCGCCCTGGCTACCTTAGGCTCCGCCCCTCGCGCCTTGGGCCCCGCCCCTCCCCGCCCCAGCCGATTTAAGCCGGGTGTGTGTCGCTTGAAGCAGGAATGGGGTAGTGCGCTCCTGATGTCTCAGCAGTAATGCGTTAGGGAGAAGTGAAGCACGCCTCTTTTTATTTTTTAAATGGCGGCCTTTCGCCACGGGTCTTGGCCTTGTTACTGTTCCCACACACTCCCACGCGTCTCCTTTTCTTGACCGGCTACCACGAGAGCGCCACCTCAGCGCTCGCGCTGCAGGTCCCCGGCGTGGGCGGCGTGCGCGCAGGCCCCTCTCCAGTTTCGTCTTGGGGCACGTGCCTGGCGGCCGGGAGCGCGGGGCTGTCCCCGCACAGCCTTACGGGACTTGTAGTTCTTTTCTTTCCCCGAGGTGTGCGGGGACCGCCGCAAGGACTACGATTCCCGGCAGATCCTCACCCTCCCTTTCCTCAAAGGAAAAAGCTACCTTGAGGCTGTTCTGTACGGGCATTCCCCGTACCTGTGACGCTAGGGCGTGTGGCCCTGGGCTTAAATTAAATTAAAAAAGAACTGATTAAGGAAGGGGACAGCTGATATCCACTTAGTGCTTTACAGTTAATGAGTTGCGTTCTTTCTCTTCAACTCTCCTATGAGGTAGGTGGGCGTGATCATCCCCCTTTCACACAAAGAGGAAACCGCCTTTCTGAGAGTGAACCGACTTTCTCAGAAGCGATGTCCGTAAGTGATGGAATCGGGGTTCTAACCTGGTTTCAGTTCTCCTCAGCTGGCGGTTCATTTTGCTCTGCTGCTACAGAGGACTAGAAGGTAGGGAGAACAAGTGACTGAAAAATCAAGAAGTGAAGGAGGGAAGATGGGTCAGCATTTAGCCGTAAGGAACAATGCATAAGCGTCATGAGAGAGATACCAAGAGCAATGGGAATTGGAATACAGAGGAAGAAGAAAGATTATTGAGATAATTTTAAGTGTCCTATTTTGGCCTCTTCCCTTCTATGGAATGTTCATCTTTCAAGTCAACAGCCTGAGGCCTGGGAGATGCTGAGAAGTGCTTACCTGCTACTCATTTGTTTCTGAGTTTCTTGGTTCAGCCTTTTCACAGTGGCTCTATAATTTTGACCAAGTATCTTACAACTCTTTCCCTAGTCAGCTTTTTTTTTTTTTTTTTTAAGGATGGTGTAATAATATTTACACCATGGCTACAGTAACTTAATAAGTGGTTTTAGAGTGCTTTGAGGTTCCTAGATAAAAGACAAAGTATTTCTTTCCTTTAAAGCACCATTTACCATAATAAAATCCAAACTACCAGGATACAAAAGGATCATAGTGTCAGTTCCTGGAAAATAACATGCCATAGTTTGGAGTTAGAGTTTTTGCTCAGCAGCTGTTTCCTTTAATGGAATCAGCAGGTTCTTTTAATTACACAAGACCTGGGAAACAACCATGTATCCTGGAGAAAGATTCACCATTCACCATCATCACTATTATTGCCCATGACAAGCATTAATTGAACATTTACTCTATGCTAAGTATTATTCGAGGAGCTGAGGCTACAAGGAAGTATATAACATAATCATTTAAAAAAATAAAGTCTCTCTAGGTAGTCAGGATCTATGCAAGAAAAGGTAGCTCATGATAAACAGCAAATGCTTGCTGCAGACAACTGTTAAAAAATTTGGAGCTAAGGTGGTCAATAAAAGCAACAAGCAGCAGGAGAGAGCAGCACTGGGCTTTGAGGAACAAAAATTAGTAAGTGGTGCCCTAGCCGGTTTGGTTCAGTGGTTAGAGCTTCGGCCTATGGATTGAAGGGTCCCTGGGCCAGTTCCAGCCTAAGGGCACACACCTCAATTGCAGGCTCAATTCCTTGTGTAGTTGGGGCTCGTGAAGGAGGCAACCAATGTGTCTCTCTCACATCGATGTTTTTTCTCTCTTTTCCACTCTCTCTGAAAAGCAGTGGAGAAAATAAGTAAAAATGAACACTGGGAGTTTAGGGGAGGATCTCAATAGAATATTCATCAGTTGTTAAAAAAGTAAGTTGAGAAAATGGTAGAGGACATTTTAAACCCATGGACTGTTGGTTCTCAAATCTTGCTATGAGTTTGTTTAAAAAGTATATTTCTGGACACTGCCTCAAAGATTGAATCAGCACATCAGTATAGGGCCTAGATACCTACATATTTGATAAATACCTATTGATCGTGACATAGGGGACCCTAATCTTTTTACTCATAATGTGATACGAGCAGTGTATTGGTATCCTCTGGGAGCTTATTAAGAAATACAAAATTTCAGGCCCCATCTCAATTCTACTGAATTAGAATCTACATTTTAACAAGATCCAATAATGATTCGTGCTTATGAAATACGATAAACAGTGTTTTTGTAAGACAATTCTTAATTCAGTTTTGAGAAACATCACTTTAATAACAACTTTCAAGAGATGTAATTATATGGGGCAAGTATAAAACAAGAGAAATACAAGTTTTAATTCAATAACAGAGTCAACCAGCCCTCACTTTTAAAAATGTGTATTGTATTGATTTATTTTTTTAAAGTATGTTTTTATTGACTTTAGAGAGAGAGAAAGGCAAGAGGGAGAAAGAAAGAGGGAGAAGCATCAGTCGGTTGCCTCCCACATGCACCTGCAACCTGGGTATGTGCCCTGACCAGGAATCGAACTGGCAACCTTTCAGTTCATGGGATGACGCTTAACCAACTAAGCCACACTGGCCAGGGCCAGCCCTAACTTTTATTAGCAAGATCATGACAGACACGAATTGGTTAGCAGAAACCTTGCCCAATGTATCAGCTTATTGCTTAGGAATTGAAGGGTAACCAAGGAGACCCAGAATTCATCAAATCCACAAATAGTGTTTAAGTGTGTCCAGAAGGGGGAGTATAATAGTTTTCCCAGTCAGGGAAAGCTCAGCTTTCATTTTTGTTGGAATTTGCCCAGGGTGTCCTGTATTTTTATTTGCTCAATCTGGCAACCTAACTCGTTATGAGAATCTCTCGGTCCTAATATTTTAGGATCATGATGTACCTTATCCTGAAATGGTTCAGAAAAATGCTGTGTACATACACGTATATACATAAATATGTTATATAAATATACATACAAACATATATAAATAGCAAATTACAAATGGGAAATATTAATAATAGATTAATCTGGATAAGGACAGGTGGATATTGTTTATATTATTTTAATTTTTGCAGCTTCATTTGAAATTATTTCCAAATAAAAACATTTAAAAGAAAAACCTCAAGTGTATAAAAAATAGCCATTTATTGTTTTAAAAAACCTAAGAGCCTCAAAGTTCTCATTCTGTCAGGGTAGCAAGAAATTAAATTTTCATCAACATCAGGTACTCCCTTCTCTACCCAGGGTTTATATGGTACTAGGGAAACAGAAAGAGGTTCTAGTTCCTTAAGATTTCTGCTAACATGTCTATTATTCAGGGTCAGAGTGGTGTCTGGAAGTCTGACAGCTTTCTCCTTGCATGCAATTCATAAGGTGCGGCCAGGAAACAATTAAGGCTGTGAACCCCAAAGCCTCTGTCTAGGTTTACCACATGGCCATCCCTCTAAAATCTTGCCAGTTTCTTGAAGTGCTTCTGCTGAGCAGAGATCAGGGTCTCTCTCTTGCATCACCCCCCTATTTAAAACTAGAAATTTTGAAGAAATTTGTCATTCTGTGTGATTGCTCTGAAAAGAGAACTATTTTTTCTTTTTGTTCATCACAAGGATGCTTGTCATAAACTATAGTGAACTCTGTATTAAAAAAAAAGAGGGCCTGGCCAGAGTGGCTCTGTTGAGCCTCACCCTGTGCACTGAAAGGTTGCTGGTTCCATTCCTAGTCAGGGCACATACCCAGTTTGAGGGTTCCATCCCCAGTCTGGGCATTTACGGAGAGCAGCTGATAGATGTTTCTCTCTTCCTCTCTCTTTCTCCCTCCCTTCCTCTCTCTAAGCTTGTCCTTGGGTGAGGACTGAGAGAGAGAGAGAGAGAGAGAGAGAGAGAGAGAGAGAGAGAAGAAAAGGGAGGAGAGGAGGGGAGGGGAGAGGAGGGGAGGGGGAAAGAGAAAAGAAAGAAAAGTGTGATCAAGCACTTAAAGGGGGGGGAGAGGGGAGGAAGGAAGTACAAAAAAAAAAAAAAGAGGAAGGGAAGTAAGTACTAACTTGCAAACAATTTTCTACTTTTAGCCTTCTTACAGAAAACTTCTGATGAGGCAATGGGATACAACAAGTAATAAAAAGTGGTTATCTTTGTGTAAGGGGGAAAGGATGCAGAGCCCACCTGGCATTATTGAAGCAAGGCAAAGAACCTAGGGTGCAAAACCTAAAGAGGCACTCCCTTTCAAGTTTGTAGACGTGCAGGATTGGCACCTGAGAGTGACTACCTCAAATTTTTTAAAGTTTTATTGAGAGGTAATTCACATACCAAACAATTCACACATTTCATGTATACAATTGATTTTTTTGGTTATACATATTCACAGATACATACAAACATCACCACGATCAATTTTAGAACTTTTTCATCAACTCAGAAAAAACCTTCTGCCCTTTAGTTATCAGCCCCTTATTGCCCTATTTCCCATTTCAAGGCCTAAGCAACCACTAATTTACTTTCTACCTATATAGATTTCCCTGGTCATGATAATATTCTTGTTTTAATATGTTGCTGCATTTGGCTTGTTAGTGTTTTGTTGGGATTAATTTGTCCATATTTATAATAGATATTTGTAAGTTTTCTTGTGATGTATTTTTCTGGTTTTGGTATCAGAATAATGCTAGCCTCAAATGAGTTGAGTACTGCTCTATCCTCTCCTAGTTTTTGGAAGAGTTTGTGAATAATTGGCATTAATTCTTCCTTAAATTTTTAATAGAATTTAGTGATGAAGCCATCTGGTTCTGAGCTTTGTGGGTAGTTTTCTGATTATTAACTCAATCTCTTCACTTGTTATAGGTCTATTCATTTGTCTATTTC